CCAGACAATAAGTCGGAAGATAGTACATGATTTCTTTGGTCTATCAACAGTATGTTTTTCTTTTTTGGGTTTGGTTTGTGTTGAGGAAAGTAGAGGAACTGCTTTAAACAAAGCGAAAGAGAGAGAGATAAGCATAAAGATGAGGTGAAAGAGTGAAGGGCCTGAGGACCAAGTCAAGGTGACAGAAGCGGAGACTTGACTTGAGATGTCACATTAGTTTACTTGGAAGGACATTTTGTTCTTTGTTTTTGCTTTTCTCCAAGCTAAAAATTGAAAACCTTCCTTCTTACCACTGTGAAAATTCTCTATGTAAGGAAATTGCCAGAACACTATATGCATGGTACCATGAATCATGATTTAGGCATTTTGCATAGTGTACATGGTAGTTGTTGAGGTGTATCTTAGGTTCAGATTGCAGATGATTATGGGAACACAATTTGGTACATGAATCACGATGTAGTTCATTTAAGTTGACTGATTCGATCATATCAGACTCTTTGAAATTATCATACATGTATAATATAAATTGTGACAAAAGAAAAAGAATAAATTAGATCATTCTATTATGTTATATTTTAATTATAGACATTCTAGAAGATCATTTTGAAACTAGCATCCAAATTAAATTTAGAATTTATATCTAGCAATTTATGTAGTATGACTGGAGATACTCTTTATTATTTTAGTTATATTTATAATTTGAATTATGGGGAAATTGCAAAAATGACATTTTTTATGTGCACATTTGCAAAAATACCACTTAGGGATGTTCATTTGTAAAAATGCCACTAATTATAGATTTTTAGATTCTATATCTTATAATTCTAAACACTAAAAAATGTTTTGACCCTTAAACTCTCCTAAACCCTCGTAACTAAACCCTAATAGAACATAATTAACTCAAACATAAATAATATAAAGAAAAATAATTTTGAAAAAGTGATATTTTTGTAAAGATTTCAAAAGTGTGATATTTTTGTAAATTAGCACTTGAAAAGTGGCATTTTTTGAAATTTCTCTTGAATCAATTGCTATTAAAACCCTCTTTCTTCATCTTAAATTTAGCAATCCCCATCTAAATCTAACAAGGACAAATTGGTCAAATAGACACTTTTAACTTATATAATTTGCCAAATAGGCAGTTCACTATTTATAATTGTCAAAATAGGCACTTCACTATTTTTAAAAGTTAGGCACTTCACTATTACACTAATACACATCATTCTAATATACTATTCATGGTACATGATATACATATTGTTCATGGTATATGGTGTACATACTATTCACCATGTACTATTCATATCGTATACTATTCACAACGATACTATTCACATCATTCTAACACTAGATATACTATTCACAGTGGATACTATTCATGGCAGCCAATATATTGAATGAATAGTATTTGTCATAAACAGTATATCCACACTGAACAGTGTCCACACCATGATAGTGTGAACAGTGTGTACACCGTGAACAGTGAATAGCATGTACAGTGTACACCAGAACCGAGAACAGTTTATACATAATGAATAGTGAACAGTGTGTACACCATGAACCGTGTACACCATGAACCGTGAATAGTGTGTACGCCATGAACAGTGTACATCAAGAACCGAGAACAGTTTGTACACCATGAACCGTGAATAGTGAAC